TTAGATTCCACAGTGACACTATCATCATGACGCTCAGTCAGCCCCTTAATGGGACTATTCTTTAAAATATATTTCCACTAATACTGAAATAGCTAACAAATATCAATGTTAAGTAAATAATATGGACAGAACTGGTGGTAGGAATGGCACAAGACTCATGAATTAATTAAAACAATGTCTCAAGTAAGGAAAGATTTCTTTCCAAATAAAAATTTTTAAAAATTGAGATTTTATGCCAATGAAATTTATTCAGTACTACACTGTACACAATTCTACATGCACAGCTTTGTATTTCAAACACAGAGTAGGAAAAAGCCCTTAAAATCTAAGGTGGTGGCAGTTTGATATCGCGGGTGTCAAAATCTTATTTTCTGTGCACTCTGATTAACTTTCTTCTGCAAACACAGAATTAAAATGGAAAACAACAAAAGTCAGCTCCAGTCCTTCCACCAGAACCATAGAGCTGGCACAGCAAGGAAGACTTCCTGAGATTAGGTTCCAACAACAGTCTGGGTGAACCTGAGGAGAGGCTGAGAGAGCTGGGATTGTTCAGCCTGGGGAAACCTCAGGGCAGGTCTCATACTCAAAGAGATTGTGCAAAGAGAAGAGAAACAGGTGCTTTTCAGTAGTGCCCAGTGACAGGGCCAGAGAAAACGGGCATAAACTGAAACACAGGAGGTTCCCTCTGAACATCAAGAAGCATTTTTTTAGTGTGAGAGTGACTGAGCACTGGCACAAGTTGCCCAGAGAGATTGTGAAATCTCCATGCTTGAAGCCATTCAAAAGCCATATCGACATGGTCCTGGACAACATGACCCTGCCTGAGCAGGGGGGTTGGACCAGATGACCTCCAGAGACCCCTCCCAACCTCAAACATTCTGTGATTCTGCGAGCATAGCTTAAATATCTATCCAAGTTTAAAAAACAAGCTTGCACAAGCTCATTAAAATACGGGACAAATTAGCTGAAAGCAGAAATTGGGAGCTGAAAACGCAGTGTTTGGATCACCTTCATCCCAGTATTTTGAAAGAATGGGCACAGGAGATGAAAGATTCAGCAGAAAGGATTTTTAATCAATCTATAAACTCAAAAGCAGAAAAAAGCAAACACAGTGTCTATATTTACAAGGAGAAAAAGCAATCAAGAATATGTCAGGTCCATGATTCTGATCAAAAGCCAGCAGGCTACTGAGAATAATTATTCTTTCCTGCAAAATTCAAACACAAAGGAGAAAACAAATGATCATCAAAGAAGATATCATGTGGGTTCACCAGAGGTAGATAGATTGTGCCAAACTCACTTGTCATCCTTCTTTGACAAGACGTGATTTTTAAAGATAAAGGGAATGCAGGAAGTTTAGATGGACTTTTTATACTGTGCCATATGGGTATGGACTTTTGATACTGTGCCGTATCAGTTAAGATGAAAAAGGTAGGAAAGGAACCAAGTATGTTGATGGCAGAGATTACAGTGGTCTGTGCTGAATGAAAAGCTATAAGATCAGAACGTTACTAACGGAGTTCCTAAAGAATGAGTCTCTGGTCAAAGCTTTTGAATTTTTAAAAGCTTTCATACTTGGTATAATTAAATTTATACTAAAAAGTAACCTACTGACATTTGCAATAACACCAAGTAACATCATATATGCAGAAAAGGACTGAAACATCATACAAAAAGAAATGGATGACCTTAAGTGGGTACTGATAATAGCACACAATTTAACAACAGACAACAGCAAGATCTTACACAGAGGAACTAATAAAAACAAACTCTCCAATAATGTGGAGTTGTTGATAAAATCAAGGACACACGAGAGGTTACCCCATCTTATCGCAACTGAGTCAAACAGTACGAAGACTTGAAAAAGTTGTTTGTAGGCAAGAAACAAAGTCTTCTCAGAAGCAAAGAGCGAAAATAGTCATATAAGAGGCCAGCAAGAATCCTGAATACCATGCTCCAAGCTCAGGTAAAGAAAGATGAACTGAATAGGTGTGTAAAACACCAAAAAACCCAAAAAAAAAAAAAAACCAAAAACGAAAAAGGAAGAACAGAGAAATCTGTTTTGTGACAGGAAGCTAAAATACATTGTTTTATCCAGCCTAACAAAATCATCAGCCAGAACGAGTCTGCTTTCTATAAATACACAAGGAGAGGTAAATTCTTTCCCTGTACACAGCACTGGTGAGGCTGCATTTCAAATCCTGTGTTCTGTTTTGGGCCCTTCACTACAAGAAAGACATTGAGGTGCTGGAGCAAGCCCAGAGAAGGGACATGGAGCTGTTGAAAGGTCTGTAGCACAAGTCTGATGAGGAGCAACTGAGGAAAATGGGGTTGTTTACCTGGACAAAAGGAGGCTCAGGGGAGATCTTATCACTCTCTACAACTACCTGAAAGGAGGTTGTAGCCAGGTGAGGGTTGGTCTCTTTTCCCAGGCAGCCAGCGACAGGTTAGTAGGAAATGGCCTCGTGCTGCACCAGGGGAGGTTCATGTTGGATATCTGGAAGGACTTTAGGGAAAGGGTTGTTAAGCATTGGAACAAGCTGCCCAGGGAGGTGGTGGAGTCACAATCCCTGGAGGTGTTCAAGAAAAGATTAGATGTGGCACTTAGTGCCACAGTCTAGTTGACAAGGTGGTGATCAATCAAAAGCTGGACTTGATGATCTCAGAGGTCTTTTCCAATCTAAATGATTCTCTGATTCTGTAAATTCTAGAGAAATATAAGAACTATATAAAATAATGGAAATTATTAGCAGGAGCACAAGTAGGTATGAAGTGGTCATGAATAAATTTTCAGTCAGAAATTAGAAGGCAGTTATATATGATCAAAGCAACCACATTCTGACACAGTCCCCCCACTGGCACAACAATTTAGCTAGTTTGAACAAGAAGCTTCTTTAATTTATACATCAAAAAAAAGAAAAAGAAAACAAGAAGGACATTTCATTGTCCAAAAAAACAATAAAAAAAACTAACACAATTCCAGTCTCATATAAATACACAAAACACTGCAATTTTCCAGAGGACTCCAAAATACACTGTAACTGCAGCATTCTGGTCTTCTAGCCCATTCTGTAAAAAAAACTCATCTCAAGCAACTTAACATCAAATTTCCTATCTCATTATCTCCCTTAATAAATTGACAGACACTAATAAAGTACACCATGAATTGTTCCTCCAGTGTTTAGTACAATTTGCTCTACAGTGCCACAATTTTTAATTTGACATGCTGCTGGCAAACAAGCCCGGGCCAAGCATATCAGGGGCACCTCTGTGTTTCTTGGGTTCTGTTCCTTCCCCCCAGTATTTGTAGTATTTTAATTAAAAGAGCAACTGGTTGTAACAAACACAAGAACTCAAGTGCTGGAACTATGCAGTCAGTGAATGAAAATCACTGGTTGCTGCTGGAATTAATTTATAAACTGGATAGAGTACGGCAGCACTTAGTGGATAGAGTAAATGCCCATCATTCATTATTGTTCAATCACAATGATCTGCACTGGCACTTGAACTGGATGGAAAATACTGCTTTCCTGGGGCAGCAATGCCATGTTTGTGCTTCCCTTCCTTTAGAGTTAAATTAATGTAAAAGATACTTTGATATTAAGAAAAATGATTGGTCCTTGGAAGCTCATAAAGATCTATCATCTGTTTGATGCTGCAAAATCTGTAACGCAGACAGCTGCCATTGATGTATTCAGGGCCAGCTAGACAGAGCTATGACCTGAAAAACGTGCAGAAAATAACACTGGGCATAACCATGAGGTGAAACAGGTGAAGCATATTCCATTTGCTTTGCTTCCCTCTCCTACCCATTCTGTTGGGTATGAAAAGCATGAAGGACCATTTCATTCCTGATCACGCATTTGTTAGCACACCACTCCTCCTTACAACATTGATCGATATCTTACTCATGGGGGCTCCAAACACACAGGGAAAACAGCCGTTCACAGCAAATGAGGTCTAAATGCTGGAAGCCTCCTTGCAACAGTGACTCCTGAAGAACAACATGGGAAGAGACCTGCTAAGGTGCAGAGAAAGTGCAGCTGCTTACCAGAAACCATAAATAATAAGAGGGAAAGTTCGGGGCCCAAGAAAAAGAATTTTAAAAGTAATTAAAAAAATAAATCCGTTGCAGCAATAACTTTTCGGCTCCTTGCCAACTTCCATCTCTAGCTCACCCGCGCAAAGTATGTTCATAATTCTCTGTGGAGCCTTCATTTTAGAGTAGCATGAACCCTGCTGAGCAGTTCTGAAGATAATTTTTGTGTGTTTCACAGTGCCCCTTATTGTTAGTCGGTAGCTCACCCAGTTCTGCACTCCAAGCAATCAACCAACCCAAAAAACACGCATTTGTCCTACCCTTGCTTATCTGATGCTGTACCATAATGTAGGACAGGTCTGTTATTATGTCACTCAGTACACCTATAAAGCATGCATTTACATACACACACACATACACACTTGACACAGTAAATGAATAAATGAAATAAATACTAGCAACAGAAATCTGTTCCCAAAACACAAAGACAATAGTGAAGGGCATATGCAGGGGGATCTTTTACTCTCTACAGCAGAACTTTTTCAAACAAAATCGTAATTGCTGCAGGAACTGAAGAACTGTGTAACTGTAAAACGAGTATAACTGTTACTCAAGAAGAAAATGAAGAGCACAGGCATTACCTGTGAAATAAATTCTCACCATGGATTTACTGTATTAAAGGAAGTGATTTAACACAGCAGCAATATAAACAACAGATCTTATTGTTAGGATTCAAGATTGGTTGTGGCTGAACTTCGTGGTACAGACCAAAGACATGTAGTGCTTACACACCTGAGAAAAAGTAATTCCTTATATAAGGAGTGTTTTGCATCCTGACCAAAGGAGAAGCCCTAATACTACTATAATAATTATTCATTTTAAAGGTAGCATTTCTTTATAACCACTTTCTCTATACACCTGCAAAATCACGTGTCCCCTCCATGAAGATAGTTACATTCACCTGCTGAAAACAGACTAGATTTTGTTACCAAACCGCAACAGCGGATATATTTAGCCACGGTTTCAAATAAGGCCAAGACGATATTGCACACCCATTATCTAACAAGACGTGCTATAACTGTAAACGTTTTATGCAAATCCCTTAATAGCACAAACATTAGAGAGACAAGACAGTTTCAGTGTCCACTGCACAATTGTGCTGAAATGCACCTTTTACGTGAGTGACACCGATTTAGCAGCAGAATTTTTGTCCTATTCGCTACCTCTGCCCTGACCTCACAGCTCAGCTCGGCCGGCCGGGCGCCCCTCCTGGGTCCGAGCGGTGCCCACGGGCGGCTCTGAGGGACCCCCCGCAGACACGGCCCTCCCGACAGGTCTTCCCGCGGCCGCCCGACGGCGGGGCCAGGCAGCGCGGCACGGCCGCACAAAGGACCGCCCGGACCCGCCGAGCTGAGCTGTCGCGCCCTCGCCCTGCGCGGCGGGCGCAGCGCCGGCCCCGGGCTGCTCCGGGGCGCGGGGCACGCCGAGCACCGCCCCGACCCACCGCTCCCGCCGGTCCCGCCCGCCACCGCCCGCCCGCGGCAGGCGCTGCCCTGGGCCGGGCCCCGTGCCCGCCTCACGG